ACGACTTACCTATATTATCGACTTCAACTCCAGTATTTAAATGCCGAGTAATCCTCTATGATTTCAAGTCATGGCATCTAACCCTCCCATTGACACTCCCCTCGCCCCCATCAGCTTCCGACAAAGATACGGTACGATAGTATCGTCGAGTCCCTGCATCCCGGTACCACAATTATCATAACTTTACTTATCTCGCCGTTCACGGTACATTCGAGCACTACTAATGCGCGGCACTATTGTGTACTCGTACAGTACCGGTACCCTTCCTACGGCGGCCGATGCCTCATCAACTGTTGGTCTACCGGTGCTATAATATACGCACAATGTACCGATATGTGAACCATAGGGTGATTCACATCGATTCCGAGACAGTCTTCGTTTGTATTTATGGAAACTGTCCGCTTTCTATGAGATTCCCTCGTGCTTTATCGCAGGTGATAGCCCCACCACCGGTAAGTCAGGCCTTCAAACCTGCGCAGGGAAAGGGGGTCAACATCGGACCCCCCCGATCGCAGGGGAAAGTAACAGGGGTATAATAGACGCTCGGTGGGTGATTTATCAGCCAATATACTCTTTGCTTAGAAATCATCCGTGGTTTCATGAAGGCTTCTGTTGTTTCAAGTACTGGTGCAGGTATGAGGGTTTACGATCAAACTAGCAATCACATAGTCTCACTCGAGATATGATTTTGACAAGAAGGAAAACAGGATCAATAAAAAAATGTAGATCAAAAAAGAGACTATTGATAACTCAAGAAGCCAAGGCTGAATCCAACGCCGTCCTTCACCCTTTCTACCTACCAGCTTACTTACCTGCCTCCCTCCCCATCCTCCCATCCTCCCATCCTCCCATCCTCCCATCCTCCCATCCTCCCATCCTCATCCTCCCATCCACCCATCCTTCCATCCTCCCATCTGCCTTGTTCATCGAACATTGGTGTTTAAACCCTCCCGACCCAGCAAAGAACCGCTCCAACAATCACTGTAGCGACTGCCCAGACTCCACTAACACCAGCAGCGCCCCTCAAATCACCGCCTTTGACTTTTCCAGCAAGCTCAACGATAGAGCTAATTCCCTGGTAGCTAGCAATCAATAGAGTCCTCCTGATGATCTTGCGCGAGCGGGGGCTCAATCTGCTCATCCACATACGGAGGAAGAATCCCCAGACACCGGTATAATCCTGCTTGATCTCCTCGGGAGCGGGATCGGTTGGGATGGTAGAATCCGCAGATCCATTTGGAGAGTAGAAGATAATCTCGCTAGCAGCCCAACCAACAGGCATCATCATCACCGCACGAGCGAGAAGCGCCGCTTCCGGGGCGTCATGTACGCGCACCACTGACTCCAAATCCCAACCAGATTCCAAAAGCCAGGAGGTAAGGAATTTTTTGCTCGCCGAGTAAAGGACCAACTGGTAGATACTGGATGAAAGGAGGGTCGTCAGGAAGCGGGTCGCATCGGTCTTGGAATCTTGCTTGAAGGGTGCTGCAGTCGAGTCCTTGGGCGAAGCACGAAGGAAGCGAAGAGGAAGGTAGATTGACAGCACGTCTATCGCGGTGGTCACAGCGAGGGTTGGGAGGAGCGGCGAGTGGCTTGGCTGGTAGGTATGTAGATAATGAAGTGCAGGCGAAAGAGTAAGTGTGACTAGACAGGCTGCTCGTGAGGCTAGAACCGGAGAGGGAAGCATTGTTAGCAGTCTGTCGTAGTCTTGTGATGAAGCCGAATGACCATACCATCCCATCCACCTATCCAGTAACCTAGAACCTCCACGATACGCCACCCGACGACTCCCATATAATCGTTTAAAGTGGTCATCGGCCGCTCAACGGCCATAATGTCCTGGCCGATCCATGGATTGGCGAGGTAGCTAAGGCCGGTAGCGAGCGCGAGGTTGAGAAACACGAGCAACACAGGCCTCAGCTTAGAAGGAATAGCGTTAGATGCCGCGCGTATAATCGAAGTCATCTTTGGTATCGGTTTTTTTCGCGTGTTTGATGGGAAAAAATGGGTGATCGCGATGGTGAGAAAAATGAGGAGGTGGTGAACTGGGAGGGGAATGTTGGAGGAGTGGGAGTTTGTGACGTATTAGTCGAAGCCTGACAGGCCGCTGTCAACAAATAACCCAATCGATGAGAGCTAATTAATAAGTTACCAGATATTCGCACTCTGTTCTCATATAAACGCATAAGTAAAGATAAAAAGGGTGGGTTTATTCAACTACCTGTACGTTCTCTTTGATGCAATTCTTGTGGAGCACAAACTCCGCCTTTTGGGGAATTATCTCGTCCAGTATGATACATTCTTCTTCCAAATCAGGATTTGAGTCACGTGACAATTCATCGTGGCTACTTCAGGGGATGGAGGGGCAGGGAAGCCACACCTCATGCCAGCCAACGGAGCCAGACACTGGTCCTGACACTTGATATGGCACGAGCGAGCATCCCACCTCCATCATCGTCATTCGAAACCCTCAGTGTCGTAGGGTCAGGTACAAACGGTGTTTCTTTGCCGCAAGATTGCTGGCGGCTTTAGTATATTCTCTTTGTCCTGATCATACAATTTTTCCTCATCATCACCATCAAACGTCGCTACGATTGACTTCCGTATCTTCTTTCTGTTCGGTTTGGAGGAGAGCTACCGGCAGTCTAGTTACTCGCTTCACCTCGTTGAAGGGAAGGGATAGAGTAGCTTTCCTCATTTATTCGCTTAATAAAATATGGAGTATATCCGGGTCGCTAAAGCATGTGTCTCCTCTATCTTCTCTCCGCCCCAAGAAGATACTTGTGAACTGTCAACTAACATAGGGGCACCTGAGGATTTTAAGGTCGAGAACGTGACCATCCTACATCATGGGCAGCCGACAGTTGGGACCCTCCACCTTACTCCCCACCATCTCATCTTCCGGATAGATCCCGAAGCTGAATCATCCTCTCAATCCCAAGCCCCACCCGCACAAACAAAGCCAGCAAAGCGGCCCCGGGAAATCTGGATCACATATCCTGTCGTTTCTACACTCTTTCGGCATCCAGCGAGTGCCGCTTCACCGGCCCACTTGCGGCTACGGAATCGGGACTTTTCCTTCCTTACTTTCCAGTTCAAGACGGAACGGGAGTGCAGAGATGTTTTCGAGTCGATCAAAGCTCTTACAATTGTCAAAGGGGTAGAAAGCCTTTACGCTTACTCTTACGCCCCAGGCTCTATCGAGAAGAAATTTAACGGGTGGAAGATATACAATCCCCTCAAGGAATACGAGAGGATGGGTATTGGTACCGAGAAATGCAAAGGGTGGAGAATGTCAAAAATCAATAAGGATTTCGCTGTGAGTTGATACCTCTTTTTTGGTGTGCCGAGAATGGGAGCTAATTTCAAGTAGTTCTCTCCAACATACCCTGCATTGTTGGTTGTTCCAGCCACAATAAGTGATACGACCTTAAGCCATGCCAAGAACTACCGGTCTAGGGCGAGAATACCCGCCTTAACGTGATTCTCCCACCTTATGAGATGCTGTACAAGTACCGTACTAAAATTTGAATAGTTATATCCACCCTCTCAACAACTGCTCTATAACCAGGTGTTCACAGCCGTTAACGGGTGTCCGTGGGAACCGTAGCATACAGGATGAGAAGCTCGTCGCAGCTATTTTCGCCTCATCACAACCACAGAATCTGCCCCAAACGTTGGGGCAACTTGAAACTTACAATTCATCCCCGTCCGGCTCCTACACCAATCTCGGGGCCCTCTCACTGGATTCCGATGCATGCACTACTGGCCCTCCTCCCGAACCCACAGAACCCCCTCCAAAAATATACGGGGCGCAACAAAACAATCTGATTGTGGATGCTCGCCCCACTGTAAACGCATATGCTATGCAAGCGCTAGGTATGGGGAGTGAGAACATGGAGAACTACCGGCACCTGTCTTCACCGCCTTGCACAAAGACTTATCTTGGTATTGAGAATATCCACGTCATGAGGGATTGTTTGAACAAGGTCATTGAAGCTATCAAGGATTCGGATCTCTCTCCCCTACCTCCAAACCGGGAAATGCTTATTCGCTCAGGATGGACGAAGCATATTGGGACAATGTTGGATGGTACAGTGGTGATTGTACGGCAAATTGCCCTCGAGCATAGCCATGTTCTCATTCATTGCTCTGATGGATGGGATAGGACCAGTCAGCTCAGCTCTCTAGCGCAAATATGTCTGGATCCATATTTCAGGACTATAGACGGGTTTATGGCGCTGGTGGAAAAGGATTGGGTCAGCTTTGGTCACAGGTTCCGTGACCGTTGTGGCTTTCTCGGGAGTGATAAGTGGTTCATAGAGAAGAGTGGAAACGGGGCATCCGCAGAGGAAGCCTATCTCGGCTCTGAAGACGATTCGCTCACTCGAAACAGCAGTCCTGGAGCATTCGCAACTGTAGCAAACGCTGGCGGGGGCCTCGGCGAGGCTTTGGAAAAGGGCTTTGGGCAAGCAAAGCTCTTTTTCAACACAGTAGGCGTCGTGCCAGGACGTGTCTCTTCATCAGCGAGCAATAGCACGGAACTTCTAGATGGCGCAGAGGACTATCCAACCTCCTCACCTCCCGACCGTAAAACAAAAATAGCAAACGCAACCACAACCCCAGTGACAATAACAAAGCCAAAAGAAGTCTCCCCGGTGTTTCACCAATTCCTCGACGCAACCTATCAAATCCTGTACCAGAACCCCACACGCTTTGAGTACAATGAGCGTTTCCTAAGAAGGCTCCTATATCATCTGTACTCTTGCCAGTACGGCACCTTCCTCCATAACAACGACAAAGAACGTCACGACGCGCGGATCCAGGAGCGCAGCCGCAGCGTGTGGGACTACTTTCTCGCTCGAAGGGAGATGTGGACCAACGAAAAGTACGACCCTGCTGCCGACGGCGCTGATAGGGAGAGGGAAATTGATGGGGGGAGGGTGCTGTTCCCGAGAACCGGCGCGGCGATCAGATGGTGGGAGGAGTGCTGGGGGAGGGAAGTGGGGGAAATGAACGGGAGCGCTATTAGTTTGCCTGCTCCGAGCCTCCCTGAGGAAGGGGATGGGGGTGGAACTGGAGGTGGAGGAAGGGGGGCCAGTCCGGCACCCGGGTGGCAGGGTGGGAGTGTTGGTGGGAGCGATAAAGGGATAGATGTTGAGATGATGTAGACTTGTATTGTCCTGTTTCTATTCCTCTCTACCGTATGTTTTTTCTTTTTTCTTGTTTTTCTCTTTCGTTCTTTCACCCTTTTCTTATTTTCCTCTGTTCCCTCCTCCTCTCCCCTAATCGGGGTTGTTAGTTAGGTTGCTAGTTTCTGCATGTATTTCGGCATCCAATCGCATGGTGGTTTGACAGTTTCTGCCTGCTCTATCTCGTTAGTTATCTTCGTTAGTTGGTTCGCTTCATCAACACATTTGGTCATGGATGCTTGTGCTTGGCAGTTTATTAAGTGCCGGTATTTGGGCGCTTTGCCGCCAAATACCGGTAGACACATATCAATACCAGGGTGTCTGAAAGCTTTATAAATTGCTAGCCTACCGTAGTCCATACTAGCGGCCTAAGGGTCAGCAGAACCTTCTTTTTTTTTCCGCTCTTTTTCTCCCATTCTCCTCGTCATTTCCCTTACTCGAGTATGATGATACAGTACCGGTACGCTATCATACCGTCCTCTCCTCCCCCCGGGAATCCCTCACCATGGTATCGCACTGTACCCACTCACTCATCACCATGATACCGTAGCCCGCTGCCAGCCCGCCCAGACGATACAAGACAGCGGCAGGCCAGTCACTGTCCGGGGTACGGTAGCCCCCATATATCCGTCCACAATGCACCCTTAACTTACCCCTGCTGTAGTAGAGATACGGTAGACACTCCACATGCCAACCGTGCATGCACGAACAATCCAGCCCAGTTCAGATCAGTTCAGTGCAACCGTGGGGGGCACACACCCACACAAATACACACCACACACACGCAAGCAAGCACGCTCCACCACCACCAACACGTCCTCTCACTCGCGATCGATCGGAGCACTGCACTCGGAGCGTTCACATTTTCCCTCCGTGCACTGGAGCACGAAGTGGGGGGTGGGGGGTATGTCCCCCACAGCCCTGTACTGTATGTACCGGTGTATCATGTTGAGGGAGTAAAGGAGGTACCGAGCACGATATGATACGCACGATAGCTGGCCCAAAACACACTTTCTCCGCAAGCTACCGATAACCGGTCGCAGTTCCACAGACACACACTTCTGCTCCCGAGGCATAAAGCGGGACCGTCCGGCCCCGGGCACTTACCCCGAGATCTTGGTGCGTTTAATTCTTGCTTCGAGTACCGGTACCGTACCGGCACGGGGGATCTACCAGCTTCCATAGCTTGGCGGGAGGAAGTACGGTATCGGTACGATAGCTGATCTGGCCGTGCTCGGCAGGTTAGCATAATTTTACTGATGCACGCGTCCTGGCTGGCTGGACCAGGTCTTGTCGTGTGGAAGTGGAGCTGGAGCTGGGGGGGGGAAGATACTGTGCACGTACCTATTCTCCCGATATTATCTGGGCCGGTGTTCCGAGCGCGAAAGGGGGGGTCGTAAAAAAAAAAGTATTAACGGGCGGCCAGTACCGTAACTGTTGCATTACTAACTTTTCTTTGTTACCGGACCTTTATGATGCCCGTCAACACTTCTCACCCTACCTTGCTCCAGGGGTAATATTACGGAGGATATGATACATGCATGCATCACCAAGGCATCATGTGATCCATCCACTTGTACCGAAACTGCGATACCGATACCGGTATTCGCAGTGCGGTACCGTGCGGTCTTGCTGGTTCTCGCAATATTGCTTTTCCCTCCTTGGGGATAATCCATGTGATACCCAACAAGTAAACAAAAAGCCTCAAAAAGGTACCCTAGTACCCTCCCTCCACAAAAACGAAGGCGGGTACGGCGACGGCGACGGCGACGACGACTATGATGCGTTCTCACCACGGTACAGTACTGTATCATACACGTACGAGTACAGTACAGTACGAACAGTACCGGTACCGCAATGCGATCACCCGCCGCTGAACGGATGGGGGCGGGAGGGGATATCACAGCGATACGATAAGGACATGAGCAAACCCCATCACGGTTATCTCTACAATAGACAAAAGCGCATAACATACATATGATACCACCAACGAGACCAAACTCATCGATAACCCACCGCGGCATCGCACCGCCTCCTTGGCGGGCTGCGCTGGTGTCAGGGCCCAGGGGGATAACCGGTTCCCGACCTGTGTTTTTTTGTTTTTCTTTTCCCTATCCCTTTCCCTTTCCTTTTTTTTTCTACCTTTTTTCTTTTTCAGAGGATAAAGTTGACTTGGGTTACAAATGACCGGTTTTGGGCGTCAGGATACCGGTATGGTGCTGTGCGGTATCGTACCTACGGTGGTCCACACCGGTATCCAGCAATTGTGATCCAGCTTCCCCCACCTCTGCGAGCCGGTTTTTTTTTTTTATATTCCGCTCGCTATTCGATACACTCACTCGCTCGTAGCTCGTAGGGCATCTCACACCCTAATACTGTCTTCGTACACTACCACCACCACACATCAAAAAAAAAACCCCCTTACAAGTATTGGGGTGGGGTATTATTATTACCGGTATTACACTCTGTCATATTCGCTATCGTGGGGGGAAAACCTTAAACTGGAGCACCCGAGATATTCATTTGCTCGGCAATAAATTACATGTCAATTCACACGTCTCCCGGTTGGATGTCCTCTTAACCCCCCTTCTTTCTTGGCAAATTAACCGCCAGAGTCTAACAATCACCGAGTGCGACACTTGGGTTCCCCCCTGGGCCCCCCACACACCCCATCTTCAAACCTACCGGTATGATACCATACTGGTACGAGTATACCGGTATTGCTCGCCCAAAGGTTGGTGTTTTTGAGATACAAGTACCCTTCTATTTTCCGAAGCTCTAACCTGTTATCTAGAGAAAAATTAGAGAGTAGAGAGAAGACCAGAATAGGAAAAAAAGAATGAAGTTGAAGTGGCTCTTTTTTTTTTTTTGGTTACACGTGCTGAGGTTAAGCCCCCACCGTACTCTCTTACCCTACCCTCAACTGCCCCCCATATGGGCATGATAATAAAATTTCCCACAAAACATGCTGTTATCATAGCTTCTCATACTCCCCCTCTGCCTACTCTTTCGCACCTTATCTACAGCATTCCCGTCAGACCAATCTTGCCTTGCATCGGTAGTTTATCCGAAAGGATCGAAACTGGAATCAATTGCACGGTATCACTCATGTATGATATGATATGATATGATAAGGGCAGGTTTGGTGAAATCTCAGATCCTCCCGCCTTGGCCACCTCGATGGGGTTGGGCACCAGTATGGTATGACAGAGATGACTGATTGGTAGATCCAACAATCCTCTATCGATGAGCTTTATGGTTGGGGGAATGCACTTACGGAAACTATCATATCGAGCAACGAAAAGTGAGTGCGGTTAAAATGCCCCCCCCGTGTGAGATAGGGCGGCGACCTTGTCCATGATATGATACTCATATCATATGGCAGCCCTTGAATTCTCTCGCAGCCAATCATCTGCTCCTTGCTTTCTTTTTTCACTCATTCTTTTACTTCACACCCTCGCATGTGTTTTTAACCCGGCCTAGTTCTGTTTAGTTGGTTCACAGCGGCTCGTCCCGTTTGGCTTTCCGCTAGGAAGCATGGGGGTTCCCTTCCCTCCCCAGTCCGCCAGTCCCCACCCCGGGACGTGATGGAAGCATGAGAGATCGATGCTATAGCCCCGTATGATAACACCTTTGGTTTCCAAGCATCGCTCCTGCACCTCTATGATATCGGTATCCCATGGATGGGACGGTGGAATAAAGTAGATATATACTCCATGCACAGCACCTCCTGCAGTGGGACCTTTTCTCTCTCTCGTGAAAAATCTTCTGGAATTGCCCTACCCCCCACGCAACGGTCCGATTGATCTGATTGATCTGATTGACATACTCTGTTTGTTATCGTTGCCGTTGTTGCTCTCCTCCCCCTTCTTTCTTCTCCCGCCTTTTCCAAGTGTTTTTTGTTTTTCTTTTTCTTCTTCCCATTTTTTACTTATCTATCCATTCGATCCATCATAAATACCCGGTGACCCCATCCCTCCCCCTGGAACGAGAAAAAGGTCGGTCCTTTTCGTTACCTCCATCGTCCGGAACCGAGAGCCTGTTTATTATTCCTTATCGCGTCTTGCAAAGGGGATAGGAGAAGTAAAGAGGCAAAATAAGGAGAAACAGATGCTTCGGGGCTACAACCAAACGATCGTCGTGCCTCCCCGAAAGCTCCCAATGGGTGATTGCGGTTTTATTGCACACACAGATCCACTAGTCCCGGTGGTCTACTCGACCACGCAGAGCTCACGATGCAATTGTCGGAATTACTGGCCAAGCCCTCATTCGGCCGATACCTGTGCCTGCGGGCATCATGCTTGCTATCATTCAGCCGAAACGACGATGGCCCCAGCAACAGCGGCAGTTGTGCCCTCTACCCCGAGCACGTTTCTAACGATTGGCGCATATGCGGGCATGATGGCTAGGATAGCCCGCTTGGAGGAAAGGCTCGAGGCACAAGAACTCGAGAGGAGGAACCAGATCGCCGCCGATAGGATGAACATGGAAAGACTGATGGGCGGGCTACGCGAGCTGGATGAGAAGATGATCGATCTGGCGGAGAGGATTGAGGAAGCCGAAGAAAGGCTGTTTGGTGACGAGGGACACGGCGTCGCGTTAGAGGCACGCCTACTCGATCTGGAGGGAAGGACCGAGGAGCTGGAGGAGGACATCGAAGCGATCAAGGCAGCCGTCTTTGATGATGAAAGGGAGCGCGAGTTTAGTGGAACCCAGGAGAGTGATATCAAGCGGGAGAAGGATATCAAGGAGGAGGCGAGGGATACCAAACAGGAGACACCCCACCCTCCACCATCCATTCCACCACCCATGAAGCAGGAAAGGGGAGGGTTCTATGAAGAGCACAAGTCTAGAATCCCCCCAGTAATGATGGATGAAGAAGAAGGCGGAACTCTCGTGCCAGACACCAACCCGGAGGACCCACAAATCGACATGGAATCCATTCTCCCACAACACCCATCCGATAAGGTCCGTGTGGCCAAAGCCGTACGCCGGCGGCTCCCCTACGAGAGTATCAGACCCTCCGAACAACTGGACTCATCTCCGCCTTTGAAAAGGTCCCGTAGGGCTTGCGTCGATTAACTTGGCTTATCTTGTCATCGTCATGAGGTTAACGTTCGGGGGAGGAGGCGTATTGGTTTGCTTTTTAAATCTGAATTCGGCGCTCGACATTTCTTTTCTTGTATTCTAGAGCGGGTTTTGTCCTTTTTATGTTTTTCTGGGGGTGGTGATTGTGAGATTTGGCGCGAGATCTTAGACGAGTTGGGGGTCGCTTCTTTCTTTCTCTATTATTTCTCTGGCCCATTCTTTTTCTTTCTTTCTTTTTTTTCTCATCTGTTTCCTTTCACCGTGGGGTGACTTAGAAGACCACTAATAAGCCATCCTCTTTTGAACGAAGATTGCCGACACCGGCAGATACTTTTTTTCTTCTCCTTGCTGTAGGACAATCTTTCTTATCCATTGCCAAAGTAAATTAAATTGAAAATTTGCATGGATGAAGCATCTTCAGTGAGCAGGTCAGTTCCCCGCTCCCCCGTAGGGGAGTTTCGGCTCAAATATCACCCTGGACCGCTCAGGGGGGGCCATCATTGTTTTGTTCCCGCGATTCGGGTTAGTGACGGCATACGAGTGACACAAGATGATCACCACCAACCAATGAGTTTGCAGTATCCTTTCTGGTGGCCGGAAGCCGACGGATCCTTTTTCCCCACCAAAAAACTTCCAAAAAGCTTATTATTAGAAATGGCCCCATTGAGTCCTGTGAGAGAGAGAGCACGAGACCACCGTGAACCCATTTTTATGGGCGTTTATCAAGCCCAGCATTCCAGGAACCGGGCATGGGTGGAAAGCAGGCTGCAGGGATGGATAAGGTTTTGTAATCGAGAAGGGAGGAGGGGGCAAAAATGGGGTATGATAGCTCAATCATTCTCGAGTCTGCTCAAGCAGGAAGAGGTAGGAATAGGAAGATGCGGGAGTTAAAGGGCCCTTTATATACTCGTGCCGTTCCGTGAAGGAAACCAACGTAATCCAATCAGAAATATCATCGGTACAACTTACTCGTAATTGCACTTCCTCGTCATAACCACCAAACGGGGGAAGTGCACACGTGCCAAAAGTTTTGTATAATATCTTCTCCCCGTCGCCCTTTTGCTCTGTCCTCCGCTATGATTCGATACTGCACGAGGGTCCAACGCCACAGTACTCGCTCCTCTATGATAGCAAACCAACTTGAGGCAATACTATTACACACTTATGGAAAGACAGTACAGTACATGATTAACAGGATCACTCAATCAGCGTCTATATCATAAAAAACAGGAAAGCTCAACAATTTTAAATTCCAAGCCGCTACCCTACATCCGCGCCAAATCCACAAAAGACGAGAGCAAAGCCAAATACGGATGCCGGTGATAGAAAATGGAGAAGAGGAGAAAATAAGTGAAAGGTATACCCCCTAGGATATAACAGGACAGAAAACGCAAATCGCGCGTCGATAAGAGCAAGAAACCCCCCCCCCTTTTGTTTTTTGCGAGCGTTCCACCCGTACAGTGTGAGTGATCGTATAAGCCTTATTCAAAAAAATGTTGTGGTGGTTATTCATACAAATCGTGAGATGGTGATAGAGGAATGGGGAAAGGGAAGGAAAGGTTATGGGGAAGAAAGAAAAGAAAGGAAGGTCAAGAAGAGAAATAATGAGTTGAACTAGGGAACAAGGTTTGAGGTGGCAATGAAGCGAACCACCGCCAAAGCTCTTCGACAAAAGAAAAAACAATTTACTTGCTGGAACTTTTTTGATCTCGTCGTTACGCATGACAGACATAGAATAAGGGATGTTTTAGTAAGAGAAAGGGAAGAAAAACCCATGTCATTAGCATTTCGTTTCGTCGTTTTGTGTCCAGACAATCTTTTCAAGGCGCGCCCCAGTCGGCCCCAGCAATCCTTCCATTCAAGTGGAATTTTCCTATTTTTTCGAACCCCCTATTGCCGTCAGCATACCTCATTGCACTTGGGGGGGGGGCTTTTGGGAGAGGATGAACTCACCTGGCCAAATCAACGCCTTGCATATCACCAAGCTCATCCTCATCGTCATCCTCCTTGATATCCGGTATGAGGCTTGTCCCACCTCTCGACCCCGCCAAGTGAAAACCACCACCACGTTCCTTCAACGGGCTACCCAATTCCCTAATCCTGCTGCTTCCCTCAGGCCCAGAAACCGGTGGTGGGGAAGAGCTATGCAAATCCTTCAAAGGGCTATAGTCTCCGGGCTTTGCAGGTGTAGACCCAAATTGGACATATTTCCAGAACGGGGCTGGAGAGGAGGTTGGAAGGTAGGACGACGGGAGTTGTCCGGTGGAAGGAGGGGCGAGGCGGGGGTGTTGGCGCTGCGGTGCAGGTGTCACCGCACTCAACGCTGGGTGGTCATCTGCATATGGAGAATGCCGAGACGGCGAAGGCATATTGGCGGAATCGCTGTGGACTGATGACGGGTGGTGATTCTGGGAAGACGAAATCATATCGTTGGTATGTGTCGCCGTGATAATACTAGACCTTCGGGGGTGGTGAGGGTTAGTTGATAAGTCGTTTAAAGCATTGTCTTGAGCGCGTAGAGCTGGAAGGCGAGATCCACGGTCAGGTGTGTAGGCCTCCAGTGGTGCAACTCTATTATAGGAGGCAACCGGGGGTGGCGTAACAGATCTTGAGTTCTTGATTGTAGGGTATCCCGTGCCTAGATCGTGGGGATCATCTAGCCTTAAGGCTTGAGAAGGAGGCTGCGGGAGCTGCTGGCTCATTCCGTACTGGGCCTGGCCCTGATTGCTCTTAACGGGCTTGGGTGAGGACGGCGACCCTGGCGCAGATCCGGGACGCCCGGAGCCAGTTTTGGTGACCTTCTGGATTTTTTTGATATATTCGTCACGATGTTCCGCAAGCAATTCCCACTTCATCCCCTTACCTGGTTCATCGGTGCGTCGAGGAATCTTCCGAAAAGCCTTGTTGAGTGAGAGATTATGCCTGATAGAATTCTGGACGGATATGTCAGGTCAACCAAACCGAGAGGAGGAAATCATGGCGACTGACCTGCCAACCTGTGTTGGAATGCCGGTAGAAGGCATATTTCTCCGTGATGAAGGAATAAATGGCGGACAGTGTTAGCTGCTCCCCCTCACTAGACAAAATGGCCTGTGCTATCATCATGGCATAGCTATAGGGCGGTTTCATGTCTTTCAGGGAATCATCAGAGTAATCGATATTCTCAGCTGTCAAAACAACCCCACGAGGAAACGTTGGTTCATCCTTTCTCCTAGCGGGTTCCGGCTGTGATGGGTTGTCTGTGATGACGGCCGGTGGAAGCAATTGCTGCTGAGATGACGACGGCCTGGGGCCCTGCGAAGACGGCATCGTAGCAGTATCGTAATTTGAAGAGTCGTTGCTCTGGGTAGTCTGCAGTTGAAGATCGTCTTCGATCGGAGCCAGGACCCTTGCACGTTGCAGGAAGCTGGGGTGGATAGATGCGGGCCTATCGGGCAAGACAAACATCATCTGCACCCCACCAATCTCAATAATGCTTCCACTCTGAAGCACAATAACCGCGTCCTTCTTATACGGCTCCTCATTGACCTTCAAACCGTTCCTTCCCAAGACACGCAACTGCCAATTCCGGTCCCCGGCCATGTCGTAAGTAATGATAGCGTGGCTCCTGGAGACCAATTTGCTCGGGCCCAGGTCAATGTGCACAATATCTTCGGCCTTCTGTTGTGGTGGAGGAGTGGGAGATCCGGCGGTGCCAGGGCGAGCATCGGGCGGGCGACCAATGCGGATGGTCAGTTCCTTGACGTAATAGGTCCACGAAGCGCCGGCAACTTTAGCATAGGCAGTAATTCCCTGGGCGCTTTGACGATAGTTCTCATCGTTAGCATATTTTACAGCTACCACCACGTTAGGATCTGGCATCGCCAAGCTTGCAATCACAGCATTTATCTGGTCCAAAGGAGGGTCAGGCGAGGTTTCAGTGGCTTGAACCTACAACGAAGGATAAACTTTAGCATTCTCCGCCAACCTAGCCCTACAAAGCGGTGGGCAGCAGCGGTAGCAAAGAAAGAGTGCAGTTTGATTTATTCCTATTTTGGAGGGATTGCTGGACCACTTTACCTTGCGTCTCTTGCTCCTGGGCCTTGAAGGAGAGGAATTCTGAGCATGTTGATCGGGAGTGGAATCACGACGGTTGCGAGTTCGCCTTATCGCTGAAGTCGGCATTGTCGCTGAAACAAAAATTTGGTTTTGTTCCGTTCCTCTGTTTTCCAATGTTACCGGGTTGCCTCTGAGCTGTGATGACAAAAGCAGTAATTAGCAACTTCGCATCACGCGTAAAGCCCTACCCATCAACGGGGTGACTGTCAAACGGCCATGACCGCGATCATGAGACAAAGCAACTGAGGGGGATTTGGAAAAAGTACCGGTCGCTAGAGCACACGGACAGGGAAGCAATGAAAAGTGTTCTCAGTAGTGCCGATGAGGTAAGTAGCGATGAGATGCGCTGGCCTGTGGAAGGATAACTGCAGAGACGGAGAGCGACGCGGTGTTTGAGCCGTGAAAGTGGGCTGGGGGGGGGGGAGAATGAGATCGCGTTCTAAAAACTAAAGTAGACCACCGAGCAGCGTCGCAGCCGCCACCGCAAATGTCGCAGGAAGGGGTACGTTGAGGCAAGGGCGACTCTGCGAACAGAAATTCACTTCGTGGTTGCGTGGAGGCCAGAACGAGGAGGCAGAAATGAGAGAGCAGGTGGTGGTGGTAGTCTAGAAACGAAGTGGGAGCTGACCATGACGATGGTGATGTTTACTACGATAGTCTACCGTACAGGGAAGGGAGATGGCGCCCACCAACCAACCGATCCAGCCCAATTGTTCTCCTCGGGAACAATGAGATGGCATCAAAACACAATTCACAAGGGAACTTTTATTAATGGGGGGTACTGTATAGGGTTTGAAGGGGAAGGGAAGACGAGAACTCCCATCTCAAAATACGCGAACCCTGGTGATAATTGTCGGCAAGTGATTGATTTCAAGCGAAATTGACTTCGCGCTTCGGGTTTACGTGAGGCAAAAGCAGTGGCACAACAATGGAGACAATAGAGAGAGAAATCCTGTGGTGGGCGTTTGACCAACTCCACTTGCCAGAATCTTGGCACAGATTTGAGCCTCTATCTCTCCTCCTTCGCCCTATCTCTTGCTCCCTAGGGTACGGGTATGATAGCGGTTATCATATCTCTTTGAATTCCTCCTCGGATCTCCCCGCTGGTAACTCGTACGTATGATAGCTATCCTCTCATCCACCTTAGTCTACCTTATTGAAGAAGACGAATAGGCTAGATTGTAAAGAGTCGAGTAAAAAATGATAATATATTGGGGTTCCTCCCTTTATGAACAAAGTGTTGTTGTCGATTGCAATCACATAGGGCTCCAAAGATTTGATTGTATTATCATATCACAGGAGAGAGAAAAATTCAGCGACAAGCGCCAAATGGGAAATATTGCGTCACCTGGCAGTCCCGTTAGAGTAAAGCGTCGGTGGTGAGGGTGCTAGGATGGGGGTGGAACAAGCGAGCTTGGAGCATGGAGCGGGACTTGCTCAACGTCGAACCCGTGTGGTGGGGATGAGGATGCATCGATGCGTGGGAAAGAAGAAAAAGACAAAGACTATGTACTGACGGACCGATTGATTGTCTGGCGATCACACTTATCATTTAGCTTTACCGTTCCCGCTCAACTCGAGCCTTTGCTTGCTCCGTGCCCCCCCCCACCTCCAACTGCCACATTCCCGGGGGGAACATGAGATGAGGGACGGGCTCCCCTCCCCCTCCCCCACCCCGCCAACGTCGTGATTCGGATAAGTTGGCGGAAGCGTTGCCTATACGAGTAGCCCAAACGACTACCATGAGATTATCACACACTTAACTTATGCCCGGTATGATATCCATAGCCAGCACTGAATCCTACCAGTACAGTACTGATACCACACACTGCCCACCCCCGGTGCGGGAGCGACCTCATCGCCAGTAATTCGGTCGATCAGCACCTATCGCGTATCCACCCATAAACGTGCCTCGGTAAAGAGTACTATTGCACACCTTCTCAGACCCCACCACCACCCCCAGCGAAGCTGGAATGATAACGTTATGATAGATAGCACGGGAGCTGCAATACCGGTATCCGTTCCAATTGGGGGGCCAGCAAGCGAAAACCTAATGGGCAGGTGGGTTCGCCAGCGTCAGCACCAGAACCGCGGTGCTCGCGTACAGGTGCCCTTTTGTGTCCTACCCCACTGCGGAGCTGGAGGGCAGGTGTATCTCTCTGTACCTATGATATGAATTGTCGGGCATAGTCTACATGCAGCACCGTGCCCGTGAATGATGGATGGCCTGGGTGGGGTGGGTGTCAATTTAACCTACCCACGTCAAAGCACCTGATGGAGTCGAGACGAGTCAGGTCGAGCGGGGTGTGTGTGGGCTGTGATAGTCCGATACAGCAGTGACTATGATAGTATCGTACAGTGCCGGACTTGTATGATACCTTCACCCCTCCACGAGCCCTAACCCCGATCTCAGGACCTCCACCTACGGTGCCCTCATGCCATCCATTGTGAGCGCTTGTAGAGTAGACCCACTCATTCATTATCCAACATAACACAACTCGCCCCGCCCGGAACGATCAATAAAACACTGGTATTACCAGCACCCATCATCACATCCGTACCGTGGGAGAGACCTCTTGTGTAAGGTGTTGAGCGTTGTCCTTCTCGGGATAGAGTACAAACCAAACCGCCGGGCTTAAATACATGATGGAGAGCCACTATACTATGCCTCTCATATCGAGGCCACGTCCCCCGACCGCAATCGACTGCGTGGACATCCACGAGTCCGACAGTAGACTAGTCTACCGGTGCCATCAATACGGCACCCTATGCCCCCGCACACAGCACAATACCTTTGTCAACAACCCACATGGCCTCATACAAATCCTGCCAGGCAGAGACGCGATACAGCATACCGCGCACTGGAACGGCAAAAAGCTCCTCATTCGCACTCCTCGGGCACGGTCCATGGTCTACAGGGCGGAAATTTTGTGATGGCAAAAAGCAAGGATTATAATATAATAATATACAATATATCGATGGATCGATTAAACACCATGAAATGAAAAAGAAAAAACAGCATCGTACTGTACAGTACAATACCGGTTAGATAGAACCCAAGACCAGTCGCATTCACTTTCCCTCCTCCAAAGGAGAGAAATTACTCGCAAGCAAGCAAGCAGTCCCTATGAGACTGGTGGGTCTGTACTGAACCCAATTTTTCATGATCCTTAACCCAAGCACCCTCCTTCCTGTTTGTATTATAAGATGGATAAGATGGATAATTCACCTAATGTCATACTTGTTATATCCACTCCAGGTCAACCGGGCCTTGTATTTCTTTCTTTTCTTTTCTTTCCCGCTCTTTGTGATCATACCAGAGTATCATATCGTCATACAATCCCACCCACTTGTATACATACCGCACCGTTGAAAAGAACTGCTACGTACGATACGCACAAGTCACAGTATTTACTACTGCCTAGATCCGAGCGGAGGAGGTAGCAATTGAATACGGTATCATAGCAGTCCTCTCGCGAAAAATTCAAACGCTCCGACATCGGATATCGTATGATACTTGTACCATCCCACAGAAATCGACAACCGAGTGATAAATTGCGGAAAAAGAAAAAAAAAGGCTCAATACGATGATTTACTATGATATAGGAGTACAGTAGGTTGCCATTCTCATCACCTTCCGAAATGGACGAATATAACAAAGGTTTTTGTATGATATAGAGCTAACTACTCCTGTGAGTTCTTTTCTTCTTTTCTTCTTCTATAGAGAGTGAGCATTGGTCGAGAATGGTAGGAGGAGGAGGAGGAGGAGGAGGAGGAGGAGAGGGGTATGATATTTGGTGAAAAGTGATGACATATACGGATTTCTGCCATGTGCCAAGGCGCTAACTTGCTCTTGTGTTATATCACGAGGGGGGGGGAAGGCACCGTATTGGGGATCATTTCGCGTTGGACTTTCTGCGCTCCGGAAGGGCGCTGGGGGTATTATTTCTCTTGGGAATCTGGTACTATACAGGCGTATTTTACTACTGGTATTACTTACGGTGCTCGAGATGCTGTAATAGTACAGTGCTTATGATACTGGTACGGTACGTAGACTATTGGCTAGATATACACCCCAGGTTGGAAAAGAGTACAGTACCGTATGATACCGTGCGCACCGAACCTGTTAATTGGAGGGAATAAACTCCCAGCCCAAAGACCAGAGCAACGGCGGCCCACATTAGACTACACCTAAGTTACAGATTTGGGCGATTCAATTCCTCTGTTCACGTTATGGAGGGATCACGGGATATGAACAGCCGATACTCCCCGTCACCGTCTATCATCCCCCTATGGTACCGGTATTCCCGTCAAGGCAGGACGTAACTCTACCATCCGTAAGCCTCAACCCCATCCATTCCTACGATGTGCACTACCAATAACATGCCGAAGGAAAGCTACAGATCCCCGACCGAAGAAATAAATTTAATCTCCCAAACCACCCAACCAACCAACAGCCCTACCGAAGCCCCAACCGGTACGGTATCATACCGGTAGACTAATTCGGCTCACCCGCCGTCGCACCCGGAAGAACTACTTCCCAAGAAATAGCTTCCAGAACACTTCCAATAGTGGAAACGCCGGCAGCCTATCGGAAACAGGGCGGGATGGAGGCAATTAATTACCCATTTCCGGGCGGTGAGCGGGTGAAAGTGGGGGCTGAGTATTCAATCTGCGTGGGGTTTCGGTCGGTCGGAAATCCGATCTTTGTGGGGCATCACTGTACTCGAGTGCCATATTGTTAGGAAAATGAGATGAGACTTGATGAAATGAAAATGAAAAATGAAAAAAATGATAGAGATGAACGTTTTTTCTTTTCTTTCTTTTTCCTTTCTTGTTTTATGATAATTTGTTTGGTGGCTGCTGATAGTTGGTGTAGTCTAGTGGTCAGGAAGGGGGATGGAAGTCCAGAAAGAATATCCACCCTGCTTTGCCAAGAATACCTCTCCGCCAGCCGACATTTTACTGCAACCCTCACCAAATATTCGCCTGACGGAGGTCTTCTTGGCAAAGACAAGCGAGGCACAAACTCGTCCACTTCCCATCGTAAATTGCGCCAGCGTCCTGTCGGAAAAGCTTGGCTATGCGGGACGTTTGATGGTTGGGTGTATGGTACCGATAGGTGCACCGCACCGTTACCGTGCTCGAGTGCAGGGACAAGTGCGGGGCGTTAACGTTAATATTAAAAAGCTTGTTATCATAGCCGTGGACACGAAGGTGAGAGAGAGAAGTGAGAAGAAGGAGGGAAAAAAGCCTCAAGAGCGAGGGGGGGGGGGGTTTCGTGGGACTCTTGATTGTGTGTGTGTGTATGTGTTGTGTAGGTTGGTGGTTTGTGGTATATGATATCTCCTCGTCATCAAGTCTGCCTTTGGCTTCGGGTGGAGGTATGTAGAAAAGCTCTGCAAGTGGGGAAGGAAAAGAGAAAGTGGTAAATGAAAACAGGGGGTTCCATCCTTTACTTTTACAGTCCTCACGAGAATCCGGATTTTTGACCCAAATCGACACTTTTTACAATATCCAATCTCGTCTAATCTAGATCCATGAGATTGCCTACCGTATGATACATCTACTGTACAGTACAGTACCATCTACCCTACTACCCTGCGCCCTTACAGCGCGTATCGGTATCATAGGACCAGCAAGAGCCCCCCCCCTCCCCCCGTGATCCGCGCACCTGTTTTTCTATCCGTCCCATCCCATCGCAAGGTAATCACCATCGTCACCATCGTCACCACCCTCACTCCGAGAGGGAGGCTTTTCCAACTGCTTACTTACTCGCTCAAAGTATTATTGTACCATACCATACCCCAACATCCACAGGTGCAATCCAATAAACTCTCAATAATATGACGCTCTCCGCGGAGGCACATAATTATGATACCGGCAGGCTACAGTAGATGATGACCTGTACGAAAGCGCGAATCGCGGCGGTGCCGAGATTTCAACTAGGACCGTCTACGCGTCCCCCCCCTCCACAGAGCAAGGGAAAGGAAGGGGGGGGGGAGGATTCTATAAAAGATATCAAAAATCCTGCACTGCCCCAGCAACCTAGACTATATGCCCGCTCGATTGATTGCCGTGCAAGCATTTTACACTAAGAAATTTTGAGATAAAAAACCGAGTTTTTGGCTTTGTGCATATATCACGATCGTTGTTGTTCGCGGTCTACATCTGCCGTACCCGAGGATTGTACGTGTACTCGTACACTGTACTAGACATGACAAGAATAGTTAAGGGAAGAGCTGAAACTCATATCATGGGCTAATCCATCTGGCCTACTGTAGCCTTTCTGCAGCCCTGTTGTTATTGCTGTATCGTCGCAATATCGTACATAGCCTAGCGTTACTATTTTCTTTACTCTGTTCCGTGCGGATATCAATTCAACCATATCGTGAGATTATCACCGATCCCTAGACAATTTCCTACTCCTCCTTCTTACACTGTACTATACAGCCACGTTCGCAAAATTCTCGTACACTTCCAAGTACCCCCTATATTTGGAAACGCTCTGCTAAACCTCGCTCTTATTATTCGCCAAAATAAATCGTCTCAAAAATTTATAGTGTTCCTAGAGGCATATCTAAGAACGATCAGCCAAAAAGGCTTTTCTTGTTCACTTGTTGTTAGTCGGCACAGTTCCCGAGGTACAAGGGAGTATACGAGAACTTTACGAATGCGGCTGTACCTGTAGCGCTGCAATACGTAAATTCCTCCACGGTAGGCACAAGTGCAGGACGTACTGACCAACTCGATGGTTGAGTCCAATATCTTATTCAACCCGTGATGCATTAAAGCAGAATAAGAACGACAAACCCCGTGCGATCTTTGCGGCCTTTTCACCAACCCCTCGCCAGCCCTGTCATGCCCTGGCATGCCCTATCCTGCCAGACCGACCGGCCCAGAACTTATCAAGTTCAGCTGGAAAGGGATCATGAGCCTAACAAAGCGTAATTCTCCCATTGGTCAACAGTTCGAAGACGCGCGTTGTCGGTTTCACCATTGGACGACTGCCTACCGATAATAACTACTGTTTCTCTGGGGGGGGGGGTCTAATAGTGTAATACAATAGCACGGGAGCAACTATTGTACTGTACAAGTATGGTGTTCATGGGGGAAGGAAGGAGAAAAGAAACAAAGAAAAAAAGCCACCCCCCCACACTCCATTCCAGGTCGGCGCTGGAGGGAAGGGGGGAGGAATCCTTGAATTCGTTTGATTGGGGCTGTGGTGGACTCTGCATGTGCGAGTATTATGCTCGCTCACGTGGTAGGAAGGGATGGAACGGGGGTCAAAAAGGCTTGTTTGAGGGATCGACCGTGTTAGTTGACGAGCTTTGACGATGTTGGTTGGGTGATTGAACGATTGATTGGCTTGACCCGACCCGACCTGGCCTGTGGTTGGCTGTGACTTGGGTTACTTTTTATTTCATCTCCCGCCTCATGCTTGGGATTGAGTTACTCGTAGAGGGAGGGCTGAGGTTGTGATTCTCGTCGTAAGCTTCGAGCACTGCCAACACCCACTTTACCCTATCATTCATACATTCTGGCACTTTTGTGAGCTTAGGCCTTACCGCTATCCAATTGGGGAACCGAAGTGAACTGAATTCAAATACTATACTCCTGGTTTTTTTTTTGCCTGACCGTTTGTTAAATAAATGCACACCCCATATAACTCGTCCACTGCTGTGCGGCGCAGCGCCCCTAGGTAAACGAGTCGTAGCGCAGATTCTCACCCCCTCACTCGCTCGCTCCCTTCTCATTCTCAATACTGTAGGCTTCCCCACCCCCAGTTGCCCGAGTATTCTGTAACATCGGACCTCTCTGGCGATTTCCCCCCGTTATCTGGCGCATACGGTACTGGTGCTCGAACATCTATCTGTACTAGTACCGGTACTCGTAAAATATATTCACCCATCAATATGAAAGTAAGTGCCACGGATGAGGGCTGTCACCACACATAATCGTGTGACCCAAAGAAGCCGATTACTAGCAGGCCAAACTAAGCCCAAGTACCGGTATCCCGAAAACACACAAGGCGTCCAGTCCAGTAAAAATAAAATAAGGTAGGATACCGGTACTCTGTTGATGGGGAAAGGGACCCAGTAGGAACAGAGCATCGGTACTGTGCTCGAACCAGTAAAGTATGATCGCTATGCCAAGTGCATAGCATCCCACCTCCAACCCAGGAAACAGATTGTCGAGACACACTACCTCATCCCCCAAGGGAGTGAGTGAGTGAGTGAGGATGGGATTTTTCTCTCTCTCTCTTCCAAGTGCGAGTGATCTACCGTAGCGCTCGTGGATTACCCCATACTGTATGATATTCTTTTCTTCTTCTTCCCTCTTTCTCTTCCCTTTAACAACGAAGAGAACAAACAGGGTATTCCGGAGTTAACCGGATCTCGGAGTTCCGAATGAGCTTATGAACCCTGACTGATGGGAGTACGGTGCAACGTGCCTGAAGGTGGGTCCTCCTCCGTGAAGGGCCGAATTTTGGTGAACTGTTCCGTGGCAAGAAAGCCCAAAGCTTGAAGTTACAGGACACACACCTCTGACGAGGCACCCGGCCAAGTTTCGCTAGCATCCCACACTGCGAACAGCTGGGCGCATCTTTCGCTCCCACAAAAATTTCGCACTTTTGCACGAGCAATCCCTCTAACCGTGTGCATCGGATTAGAAATGGAAAACAGGTTATTTATTCTCTCAGGGGAGGGCTATGTTAGGCAAGCTTTTTTATCTGCTCAAAGTTGCTGTGATTCCCTGATCAGAGAGATTGGGGAGCTTTTCTTCTTCTTCGCATTTTCCGGGACCCGGTTTGAGGCCCATTACGCTGTATAGTATAGTACTCGTATAGTAGAAAGCGTGCTGCACGCCTTTGAATCTCGATGAATGTATCTGTTCGTACCGGTAGTATTTTGTACCGATCCTAAGTCAACCCAAGATAACCTATCACATTTGAAAGCGAGCTCTTTTCTTTCCATCCTTCTCACTTGCTGCCGGGTCCCTACAAGGGAGCAGAGGGAAAAGTGATGGGGGGTGGTGGGGGTTGTTGAATTGTGATGGGATGGAAACAGGATGGAAGTGTGCTAGTTTAGGCTGATCCTGCAACATGGCGCTGACAAGCTTTTGGCGGCGTCCTTTCTCGCATGGGTGTGTGTGTGCGTGCTTGGATTCAGGGGGGTTCGGCTACCGTAGCATGGTATCATATTATATACTATCATCCTCGAGTGCTCGAGTACTCGCACAAGTATCATATCATACATGGGAAGGGAAAGGGAAGGGGGAGGGGAGTGGGAGGGGTGGGGTAGGGGTCATTGGCTGTTAATGGTTCGGAAATAGCCGTTTTGGAATGGAAGTGAGCGAGTTGAAGAGTTCAGAGTTCTCAGTGATGTGTTGTGACCGCACCTCCGGTAATGGTGCCCCTGGGCATTACGAATACGACAGATTATCGTGCTGAACCGCATGAGAAGCTAGCTCGGGACGATGGCGATGATTGTCAGTTACTACGATAGGCAAAGGAGAGGGATGGGTGGATGGATGGAGAGATGGAGGGGATTGGGGTGACAGGGAGAGAGTGTGTGAGCACAGAGCGCTTGTGAGGGGATTACCCGCTGTGGTAACTCAACTCGTTCCTGCTCGCATCAGAGGAAGCGGTATTATTATGAGAAACACCGCTGGGATTAGCCCAGCCAGGCAGGTACTGTAGGCAGAGAGTATGTAGGCGAGTTCACCCGAGTATGATAGCCACTGTACAGTACTCGTACTGTATATACATAGCAGCAGCACGAGAGAGAGCTAGACTAAGTATCACATTCTCGGTTCCTTCCTCTCTCTCTTCTGGTGGAGATTGAATTTATGACGTCATGCGACACAATCTGCTCTTTGAGCAACCCAGCTGCCAGCGCGCACACCGCAAGTGCAATAAACTGGAGGGGCATCGCATTTTTCGCTCTCCTTCTCCCCATCCCTCACTCCCCCTATCCATCCGAGTTGCTGTACGAGTACCAATACTCGAGTGTATTAAAAGTTTTCTTTTTCTTTTTTCCTCCGCAGCGTGCAGTGAGGCGAAAAAAAGCTTACTTTTCGGAAAGTGGGTGTTGGGGAGTTTTTTTCTTCTTCTTTCTTTTCTTCTCTCCCTCCTCCCTCAGTGTGATGTCTAGTTTAATAATCCGCCCAACATTCCAACCGCGGTAGTGCGATAGTATGATACCAGTATCCGGCAGTCGTAGTGATGAGCCGTCGTCGTCGTCGTCTTTGCTGCTCCCTCTCTCCAAATATCGATATCTCGGAGATGTCCTGACAGGTTCCCGAACCCTTTTCCTCCTTTATGCTTTCCTTTCTTTCCCCCTCTCTGGCTGCGATTGCTGTCAGCAATTGCCGTGGTGTTGATGTTCGCAGCATATCGTACTTGTATGTATCATAATTATCATAATAATTATCATACCTAGCAACTAGGCCTATACCGGTGGGATAGGTGTTGGGGTTGGGTAGGGTAAGGGAAGGGTTTGGCCAGTCTTTCGGGTTGTGGTTTAAGCCTACGTGGGCCATGGAAGGGGGTGGACCGTGGGTCGAAGGGGGCCCGGGACGGAGGTATCGTAGAATAAAGGAGCTAATGGTGAAGTAAAATTTGATGACCATTTTCTGCCCATTCTTTCGGGGTCATTCTGCTATCGCCAAGAGTTCGAGACTTCTTGTAAGATCTATGGATACTGCGTTCTTACAAAGACGAATCGTTGCTTGCTTGTCCCCTTCTCGTGCCGTTACTCTGTGGGGCACCTGGAAGTTGCCAATGGATGGTTTACCGGTACAGTACAGTACCGGTACAGCGCCGGTAGTGGACAACAAGGCTTGGTGGAACTTTCGAGGGAAAAACTGGGAAATCAATCATGCCCGCCTCTCTCCCCTCCCCCCCCTCCTTCCCCGAGAGAAACGCAATTGGTAAAATGCGGTGAGACTTTCCTCCACGGTAGGAGCTTCCCTTTTCTGGATTGTTGAACGATAGGATTATGGCGGCATTATTATTTATTATTATTTTTTTCCTTGTGGTTTCCAGGCAAACACTTTTTTCCTTTTTTTCCCTTTCCTTTTCCTTTTTTTTCTTCTGAATGGATTGGAAACGCCGGCAGGTTAAGGGAAAAAAGCTTGTGTACCAGTGCAGCAGAGTACCGGTACTGGCCCTGGACCTTTGACCTTTTGAGTCTGGCCACGGTAACCCACTGTGACCTTCAGGTCCTTGAGTACTTTTATCCTATCTTTTTGGATCCTTGGTCACTCTAGACTATTTTCCTGCTCTATGCTTCAAGCACTCTCTCACTCCACTCCCCTGCAATATTTCTTCGCTTGATCCCATGAACCCTCTCTCCAAAGATTCAAGCCATAAACACGCATACTCGGGCGTAGGTAGCAATGATGAACCACAAGGGTTGGAAGATCAAAGAGACTCTCTGTGACCCGGGGTGAAGAATCACGGCGGTTGCCAATATTTTTCCAAGAAATCACTTACAGTCCACTGACAACCTTTTGTCCCCTTCGGCTTCTTCCCCTTCTTCCCCCTTCTTCGTTCTTTCTTGTCGCGCGTATCTTCCCGTTGCTGGGAAGGACAATTAAGACCCGCTTGATATCTGCATCTATTGTCGATTGGAGTTTCCCTTTGTTATCATTACCGTTATGGATGATTATCTTCACTTTTGTTTACTGTAGGGTACCATCCGAGCGATTGGTTACCAAGCTCAAAAAATAAAAATGAAAAGGGAAAAAAAAAGGAGCAGCATCAGGGAAAGAATGGGAAAGGAAAGAATTTTTCTGTAGGTTACTTGTTGACTTAACCACCACCTCTACCACCACTACAGGTCTACTTGACTAGTGCATGCCACTTGGGCCCGGGGAACGAAAGGATTAAATTTCCTCTGTGAGTTTAGTACGTCAGTCCCCCTATCAGTCAAGGATTTTCTTTGGGCCCGCGAAAAAAAAAAAAACAGAAAGAAATAGGCTTCGGCATCGTATGCACCACCCGCTGGGTGAAGGTGCCTACAACGCGAGTTGCAAGGTCAAGCTCTTTTCGGCCTCCGAAACAAGACTGTACAGTAGAGCACAGCGAGGGCCTGTTCCACGAACAATCTGGTGCATAGGCAGTGCCACCCATTCTTTTCCCTGCTCCTCAACTTCTCTTGCGGTACCCACATTTTCACTCTAATACCACCACCGCTACTGCTGCATATTATCATATTTACCTCACCGCTCCCAGCCTTTCTTCCCTGTCTACATAACCAACCCTCCCCGCCCCCTGGGACTCCACCATATCTCTACCGGTATACTTCTTTTGGGTGATGCACTGTTTGTTGGTCTCTAATTAATAGAAGGGAAGAAAAGAGAGTGCAAGAGAGAGAGAGAGAGAGAGATAAAGAGAGAGAGAGAGGGAGGGGATAAGGGAGGCAGGGAACCTTTGGCATCTATGAGAGAATATTGAGGGGAAGGGAGCATCACGAATGGGATTCACCATGAATACACCATCCCACTTGAGCTCGACTCACTCCTCTCCCTCCGAGTTTGACGACGAAGCGAGCATGATGGAGACTACGGATTGGCCACATATGCCTCCTCCTGTGCGGACAAGTTCGCCGCCGATTGCCGGGAATAGCGCGCCCTCTTCAGTCCCGGCCAAGGCGCAAACTTTACCGCTCCAGAAGCGCCGGAGAGTCACTCGAGCTTGCGACGAATGCCGGAGGAAGAAGATCAAGTGTGATGGCAAACAACCTTGCACCCATTGCACGGTTTACAGTTATGGTTTGTGTCACCTTTTTTTTTTACATTTCTCTTCCCGGGCGAAACCTTCCATTCCCACAATGCTCTATTGCCCCTGCGCGAGTTGATCCCTATTTACGGTGGCGGGGGAGGATTAGTTTCCGTCTAAACTGACATTTGTGGTATCATTGTGCAAATAGAATGTACCTACGATCAACCCTCAAATCGAAGGCGTAACCCTGCCCCACAATACATCGAAGCCCTGGAGACACGGCTTCATCGGATGGAGGCTTTGCTCAAAGTATTGCTTCCCGATGTCGATGTGAATCATCCAAACTTTGACCTCGGCAAACTGCTATCGCAGATGCAGACAAACGGAACAACCCGTACCGCAGGAAAAGATGTAACCGTTGGCAGCGGTCACCCCCCAGACCGTAACGGGAGTGCTACATCTGTTTCGGCGGAGAAGGATTCCCTTTTAGAATCCATAGTCGAAGCCGCAGGCCGTCTGGACATTGAGCGCCCGCAAGGTGCGCCCGATAAAATTGACCATAGCTCATCCCCCCCCGAAAGCCGCTTCGATGCGTCGGGCAGTGGCGGGGGTAGTAACCCATACGATAGTCTTGAAGTCCAACTGTTCGGCCCGCTCCCACAATACCTCCTCCAAGGCCAGCCACAGCAACTTCCAGAAGGCACTTGCCCGGACACAACAGGCCAGGACATCCGGATGATCGGTAGCAGCAGCACCCAGCCAAACTTTATGGGTGTTACCTCGGGGACCATCGGCCTTGATGGGTATTTCGGAGACCAGTGGGGTGAGATGTTGTTGCCGAGACAGGACAACTCTTAGATTTGGTGCTTTTCCTTTTCCTTTTCCTTGGTTCCGCTTCTCGCCCATGGGAATATTATTGTTGTTTTTACGCTACCCTAAGCTACAGATCGGTTAATGAAAATTTCCACCTTTCCACTTTATCTTTCACTTTTCTCTTACTCTTTTTTTCCCGACTCTTCCCCTGTTTATTCACAAATTTCCTTCCTCGCATCTACCTGCATCGCTGGCGCACATTTTTTCTTTCTCTTATCGATTAACGCTTGTCTGCCCATTACATTACCCACTCGCATTCGCTCGTTACCCAGGCATTCGTTCATTAGTTCATTCATTCGTTCCTTTGTTCGCTCATTACTCCATCACTCACTCAGCCTTTCATTTCACATAAGCAATCGGATGTTTTTCTTGGGAGGGGGGTTTCGGAAAAAAAAGGGGAGGGCAAGTTGAGGTAGGTTGGAGTTGGGTGTATTTATCGTCATTTCATCGCTGGAATATATTGCTATGTTTTTTTTAGTGTGGAGGTGAGCACTGTATGATACGAGTATTGTATTGGGTGTCTGATGGATTGATGTGGTGCGCTCTACCCCGCGAGGAAGGCCCGGTTGGTGGGTGTGGGGATTAACCGAGGTTGTGGGCAGGGCTTCCACAGTTTGAGCGAGTGAGGGGTTGTGAACGGGTGATTTTGTGTGATGAGTCGAGTGGGCGGGGGATACCCCTCTCTCCAGATTTAATGATGGCCGGGTATGCACTGGATACTTAACTCAGTTCCAAGAGCGATATCGGGAGATGTTGCGGATCTGAGTTAAGTCAGCTGGCGTCGCAGAGCCTACGTCTGAAGATAATGTGTGGACACTCCACGGTTACGACACTTACAAGTGTATGAAAGGAGAAAAGGCCCTGGCTCCAACAGCTATACACAGCAAGTCCGAGCGGACCCCCTATACCGTACTCGCGCACCGTTGCCAATAACACAGCCGGGCACCGAATTTTCTTGAAAGAGTGAAGATAGGCCTCGAGTTTCTCGCCAAAATTGGGTACATGGCTGTATTCTTGGCAAAGACGTGCGAGTACATTGCCCTTATCCCACCCATGACCCACGCTGACCAACAACGTGAAAAAAATCTGGCGAACATCTCGATTGACATTGATACACAGTCCCCTCCTCTCCCCCCCGGGCACCGGATAAATTAGAACATCGCGCATAAACGTAACCCAGTCTAACCGCTTCAGCATCCTTAGCTGGGCATGGTTGCCTGCTTGCCCTTGAGGTAGCAAGCAGATCTATGTCTCGTGATTGTTGTAGACATTGCTCTACAGGGGCGGCATAAGTTAAGTTACATTGGAGCAGTTATAACCCATCCACTCTCTACCTTATCCTGAGTCTCCGCATCGCAGTGCCCGAGGGATGGTTAAAAGTGGGGGGAGTGCGGGCTCGGCGGGTTGGGCTCGGGAGGTTCAAATTGTGTATCGTAGCGCAGTTGTATAGTAGTGTGGGGTAGAGATCGGCAAGCGTTTGGAGGATGGTTTCTCGATGGTTTTATGGCGGTGGTGTGTGTGTGTGTAAACCTTTTATTCTTCCACTATCTCACCTACTAACTAAAGTAATCGGAGTACGGCATGGGATACTGCCCCCAGCCCTGGGCCCCTCTCAACGAAATCTTTCGCTACACCCCCCTGTAGGCCATACAAAGGAAACTCCCGCTCCCCCCTTCCCCTTTCCCTCAACAACTTTGGTCTGTCACAAAAGAAACCCACTCCTGCCCCCAGGCCCCATGGTTGTGAACAAAATTAAAATCCATCAACAAAGGAAACCCATTCCTGCCCCTTGGCCCCATGGTTGTAAACAAAGGAAATCCAACCAAACAAAAGAAACCCACGCCTGCCCCCCAGGCCCCGTGGTCGTGTACGTTATGAAGCAACACAATAAAATCCGTCGGACAAAAGAAACCCATGCCTGCCCCCCAGGCTCCGTGGTCGTGTACATTATGAAATGACCTTCTGACCAGCATTGCTCCCCTGGTCCACTGGGCGCCTCCCCCGTACCCCTTCTGCCGTTGTAGCCTATCGGCCCTTTCTTGCCGGGTCGTGCTTCCTGGCATGTGCCGTTTCGTGCTGCACGTCCCTTAGTACCGCTTCTCCACATATTGCGCACGGCCGTTGCGGTCTGGGTTTCACCGGTTTCTGTGTTGGTTGGCTTGTGGGTAGATTAACGTTTGCTTCGACCACGTGGGCAGAGTCTGGCTGCTGGGTGCCGTCCTCATCCTCCCTGGCCATTTCCAGTTTTCCCTTCAGTTCTTGTGGTCAGCCGTCCATCCATTGGAGGAGCTTGTCTTGCCTTTTATTGTCATAGAGCCCAATTGTTGTGGCGGTCGTTACCCCGCATCTGTTTGCCAGGTGGTCAAAGGTTATTATGTCTCAGTCGCACGGGCATTGTCTCCTGACACCAGCTATCTCCTGGTATGGCCATCTTGCCGTTGCCCTTAACCCTAGTAGCCTCTTGAAACCTTTCCTGGTGAGGGAGTGTAGATGCTTGTGCGATTTACTGGGTCTCTCTTGGTACCTGGTAAAGGTCATTGGCGACCTTTTCTGTCCAGCTTTGCTGTAATTGGTCTTTGAGCACGTTTTTACCCAGTTGGTAATTACCGGTGGTAGCGATGATGTCTTCCACCCCGTGTTTGGACATCCATCTCTTTGTCCAAGTGTTGTGGCGGTCCTTGGTGTTAGCCCGTAGCACCAGCAAGTTTTGCCTGAACTACATCATGAGGTCTAGCGGCGGGATTCCGAGTTCGGTGAGGAAAGCCAAGACTGGTGTTTTCTTTTCCAGTCCGAAAGCAGTCTGGATTATCTTGTTGAGGGCCGCCTGCGCTTCTCTTATCAGGCCTTTGTTTCCCCATGTCTCTATTCCGTATGTCACCTGTGGGATTATTAGGCCCTTGATTAGCCGCAGTGTTGTCTCTGCGTTCAGCCCCCCTTTGCTGTACCTGGACGTCACTGCCCTTATGTGGTGCCGGGAGCTGGTGGCTTTATTATTCCAGTGCCTGACATGGTGGTTCCATTTCCATTTGTCTGTCAGAAAGTATCTGAGCCATCTTAGATGGCCTTGCTTGGGTATTTCCTGGCCTCGTAGGCGGACTTTGAATTTGTTCTGCAGCGGTGTCTGTACGAAGATCGTTTTGGCTTTGCTGGGTGTGAATTCATAACCGTCCTCGGCTGCGGTTTCCTCTAGTCGTTTAACGGTTTCCTGGTGTATTCTTTTTCCTTCTCCCGTATCCCGGTATATTGTTGCTATCAATATGTTGTCCACGTACATCAGGACCTTGGTTTCCACTTTCTGGGATGGCGTAGCCTGTACTTTTGCTGTTTCTAGCATGCTGATGAGGAAAAGTATTGGCGATAGAGGGGAACCCTGTGGTGTGCCTTTGTCGGTAGCATATCCTTTGGATGTTCTGCCATTGAACCGGTAGCTAGTCGTCCTATCGGTGGCCCAGTGCTGGACCCATTGTGCCAGGTGACCTGGGTGCCTTCCGAGCCTGTCGCATACCTTTTCCATCTGCAGGTGGTTGAAGTCCCCTTGGACATCGAGGGTGGTAATGCATTTGCCGATCTTCCTCATGGTATCCATTACGTCGTTTAGGGCTTGTATAGCATCTGTTGTGCTATATCTCTTTCTTCCTCCAAACATATTGTCTTCCAGGATTACAAGCCCTGTTATTCGTATGACCGCCCCTCTTTCTAGGGTCTTTGCCAGTATGGACTGTAGCTGTATCAGTCTCCAGCTCTTTGCCACTGTATATGAAGCTTTGTTTAGCTTGAGTATCAGTATAGTGGTACTGACCTTCCAGCTTTCTGGGATCCCTTCATTCTAAGCCCTGTTCATCATTCTTAGGAAAAGAGGTTTACGTATTTTCCTGAAGCATTTCACCAGCCTGGTAGTGATATTGTCTGGTCCGCTTGCCGCTCCGTTCGGTGACTGTTTAATGGCCGCGTCTAGGGTCTCTATTTTTAGCGGTTCCAGTTCCCTACTTATTTGCTGTCTGGTCCGTCTCCTCTCTCCTCCATATAGGGCCGTGTGGATTTCCTGGGCAATGTCCCCGTGTTCTGCTACTAGGTCGCCGTTTTCCTTGGAAAGTGCTGGTATGGGGTGTTTGGTGGTCCTTGGCCGGACCGTCCTGAAACATTCAGGATCTATTTCTTCTTGGAGGGCTTTCCCGTTAGCTTCAAGTTTGGCTTCCGCAATGGCTTTCCTCAGGTTCTTCTTTTTTTCCTTCAGCTCTGGGTGGCGGGGGTGTTTATGTACAAGGCGAAGGACCTCCTTTCACTCCTGTTGCAGGGCCTTGTTCCAGAAAGCAAAGCTTTCTGGTTTCCTAAGGGGGGTGTACCTTCTGGCTATGCGTGTGAGCTCCTTTTGCACTTCGGTTGGGTGGTCCTTGTGGTCGTCCATGAGGCTAATCTCGGCCCTGATGGCCTCCCAGTCCGCTTGGTCCTGCCTTAGTGGCTTTTCCCCGTCGTCGTTCAAGGTGAAGCTGGTTTTAATCATCAGCGCCCTGTGGCTGGCTGTTGCAAGGTCCAGTGTCCGTACTTCGATTTTGTGGTCCTTGTTGGTAGCAACGAGGTCCAGAGTTGTTCTATTTGGGTTGGTCGCATTGGGTAGGTGGGTGATTACATGGGGGTTCCTCACTGTCATGTCCCTATCGTCCATCCATTTAGCTAGCCTTACTCCTGCCGTGTTCTGGCATCCTTGTGACCAACCTGGGTGGTGTGCGTTCATATCTCCTACCAGGATGTTGCTTCCCCCGTGTGTGGGCCAGTGGTTTGTTGGGTCAAAGTCTCTCGCAGAAGGCCTCTGGTAGCCAAAAGTAATTTCGGTTCCCCTGATCCATAGCGTAATGAATTGTGATGTTATCCATTCAACCACAAATATATGCACGTATTTGTCCAATATATATACGGCACAGCCGTATTTCGTCGCCTTTGTGCTTGCGTAGCATGTGAATCCTTCCAAATGTATCCAGTCCTGATTCTGAAAGGGGCATTCAGCAATTGCTATTATCTTCGGTTTCCTCTTTCGTGAGAGTTTCAGTAACTTGGTGACAATGTTCATAGACCCGCCGACGTTGTGGTATAATATATCTGTTGCCGCCATATTTAATTAGGCATTAGGGGAGGGGCCAGCGCTGCTGGTACTTTTCCTTTATCAGCTGCCGTGGAAGGCGGGGGGTGCTGGAGATTTCGCCCTAGTTCTAGTTGGGCAGTGGCTGTCTCCGGCGAAGTGAGAAGTTTCTTCGCAGTTGACACATCTGTTCAGAGTGTGGGAGCACATCTTTCTCTTTCCTACTGTACAGTACGTTTGCGCGCAGAGGTGGTCCTTGGTATGGTGCCTTCCTCTGCAGTACTTGCAAACGGCTTCCATTCTGCAGTGAATGGCATGGTGTCCGAACTGTAGACATCTTGCGCAGCAGGTTGATGAGTCCTTCTTCACGTATCTTCAGAAGGTACACCTCATGCCGAAGATGG